GGGGTTGTTCAGCCTAGAGAAGAGAAGGCTTCGGGGAGACCTTATTGCAGCCTCTCAGTACTTAAAGGGGTCTTATAAAAAAGATGGCGGCAAACTTTTTAGCAGGTCCTGTTGCGACAGGACAAGGGGGAATGGCTTTAAACTAAAGGGGAGTAGACTTAGACTAGATGTAAGGAATAAATTTTTTACGCTGAAGGTGATGAAGCACTGGCACAGGTTGCCCAGCGAGGTGGTGGATGCTCCATCCCTGGAAACATTCAAGGTCAGGTTGGACGGGGCTCTGAGCAACCTGATCTAGTTGAAGATGTCCCTGCCCATGGCAGGGGGGTTGGACTAGATGACCTTTAGAGATCCCTTCCAACCCAAACTATTCTATGGTTCTATGATGAAGGAGAACAAGTTCTATGTACGTAACATTGAGAGCTGATATTTTCTGAAAATACACAGTAACAAAGACAAGTTTTTTAAAACGTTGCTGAAATCGGTGAAGAACTTACTAGCAGGATGGAAATCTGGTGGTTCTGTTTGTTTTGCTGATCTAAAGAATTAAATGCTTTTAACTGCAACCAGAACAAAACAGTAATTGCCGAGAACTTTATTTTAAAATTTTGGTTGTTTTGGCATTTTTTTTTTTGTTTTGTTTTTACAGCTGGAGAAGTTAATGATGCTTTTGTTGTCAGAGGCACTTTGTTCAGTATACAAATACATAAGATCAAGATGCTGGACCAGATACTGCCACTGTTTCTGACTGGATAATTAATTGGTGAATTTTCAGTGGCCAAATGCTGCATCCTCCAATATCTGTTCCTATTGTTTGATTATATACCTATATCAGCCTGTTCCTGTGTCACTGAACAGAAATTGAATCCTAATATATCCATCCTGAAAAGTCTCTGAACTGCTAGTATGGTGCTCTAGGACGTGTTGTCGCTCGGATACCCTGAAAGGAAACAGAATCAGGGAGTGTGCTGACAGCCAAACTGCAAGTGCCATTCAAGTTATGGATTAGCCACCCTCCACTTTAGGCTCCTGTTTAGGCATCTGAGTGGCTTGTCCATTTTCTTCTTTACCTGTAAATAACCTGGAGCTATTACGGATCTAGAAGTGACCTTCAGTTTAGATCAGGTATCTGCTTGTCACTTTGAAAAGAACTAAATTTAGTGATTTAGAGAAGAGAAGAGTGGTTGTGGGTTTTGTTTTGTTTTTTTTCTTTTCCTATAAGAAAGGAAATACCTTATTGTTGTATGAGGTTTTTATTTTTCCTTTAATGAGTTTGGAGAAATAAGTCATCTCTTTTGATAGTAGTAGCATCATTTTTATTAACTGCAAAACTTTATTAAGGGAAGGTCTTTGTTCCTGTCTTTAAGATCCTGTAAGCAAATACTCTTTAATAATTATGTTTCAAAGAATAATCATGATGCTCTAGAAACTAAATTCTCTTTTTGAATGTTCAGATTTGATATACCTTTGGCCTATTCTATCAACTCTAAGATTAACAAATTCTAGAATATTTTATAGACCTTTCTCATAGTACACACTGGCAGTTAGCTTCAGTGGTAAATTACGGTTACTCTAGGTAGTCACTGTTTAAGGATTTCAGTCAACATTACTTCTTTAAGGGATTCAAGATAAATAAGTTACTGTGCATCTAAATGCGTACCCTGTTTTCTGGCAGTCTTTAAACTTGCATGTGTTCTCACTTGAAATTTTTGGTTTTAAGTGCTTCAATTTAGGAGAGAATTGCTTCACTTCATCCACAAAACAACAGCAATACAGTGGGGTGCATCTAAATGTTACTCATGAAGAGGCTTAACATGTAGAACATGAGAACTTAGCTTCATACTCAAGCCTCACAAAAATTTTCATACAACCTAAGTTACTGTATGAACTTCAGGTACCTCTGGCATTCTCAAGCTGGAACTCAAAACATGCAGCAGTGCTTACGTATCTTAAGGGACATTGCAGGAGATGATAAACATTGGAAACGATGTTTTACTCATCAGTGGAGGACATTCCATACAGTTGTTCCTTAGTTTTTTAATTTTCATTTTGATTGATCAAAAATCAAGTTGAGGGGACAAGTTGTGATGGAATTCTGAAAGAAAACAGATTTGGGATTTTTTTTTTGTCTCTTGTGGGGGTTGCGGGTCTTTTGTTTGTTTTCTTGTGAGAGTTGGAAAGTAAACTGGGTTGTCTCTGCATTCTAGCTCTGCCGCTAGATGATTGACACTTAGAGTAATCTTGAGTATGGTCCATTAGCCATTCACAGATTTGATACTCTGGAAAGCAAAGAGAATTAGAATAAGTACGGAATGTGGATACCCTTTGCTTTGCTTAGGAGGACAGGTTGACAAGATAGTTAAGTTCTTACTGCTCACTGCTTGAGCACAAAAGGATTGAGATGAATGCTACAAGTAATGATAAGGAGTAAGAATATCTCCATTAACATCACCTCTGCTGTTTCAGTTGCATGTTTTAACTTACAGCCTTCTGAAGTGTCTTGACTCTGAATTACCATTTAATGAGTAATTAAAACCTTTTTTATAACTTTTTTCATATCTTTTTTTTTCCTACTTGTTGAGTCAGAAAAGACAGCTTTGTATGTAAAAGGCTTAAGATTATAAAATGGAATTATTCATGAAAGCTTGCATTAAATGGAAAAAGTAGAGTATGCTACCTGGTGCTTACACTGATTCTCCATTTTTCATAAAATCATTAGAAAGCAGCTCTGTTAAGCAACTTTAAACTGTAAAACTCAGAAAGATACAGATTTTTCTAACTGGAGTGTTAAAAAAAAAGTTATATTGAATACATCTAAAAATGTTTTGCTTGAAACTAATACAAGTATTACAATATGAGAGTTTGTAATTGAGGAAATCATTCTGCCAATACACTTGTTCCACTTCTGCAGGATACTTCCAAGTTCTTCATAAATTAAGTAAACGTCCTTGGTTCTTCATGAAAGTTGCTTTTTTTTGTGTTGTAGTATGTTAAGTTAAGACTTAATTTTAAACACCTTGTCTTAAATTTCTGCAAGTGTAACAATATATTAAGTAAAAAAAAAAAAAAAATCCTTCCTTTGTCTTGGGCTAGGTAACATAATAAAATTCCGTAAAATTTTGTGAAAAATACTGACAGTTGTGGAGCATGCTGTAAAGATAATGGCCCAGGCAGACATGTATAAAACTTTGATAAAGCACCTGTTCTGTTGTATTCTAGTATAAGACATGAAGAATAGATTACAGTCTTAAGAAAATCTTGTTCCTCTATGAATTCTACACAGATGAAACAGGTGCAAGAAGCAGAGCTTAAAGCATCAGCAAATGAAAGAGAAGTACAGTTACTTCGAATATCCTTTCGACAACAGAAGGAGAAGGTAAAACAACTACATGAACTTCTTATATTAAGAGAGCAAGAGCAAAGGTACGGGGTCTTCTATTTTCTTTTCACAAGTTAATGGAGGTGCTAGTATTGCAAATGTGTTTTGTTTAAATGCGTTCTGCAAAGTGTGGGTGTGTTTTGGGGGTTTTTTTGGTTTTTTGTTTTTTTAGTGGGAGAGATGGTCTTTATAAAAATGTAGATGTCTTCTCACCCATTTTCTTGTTCATGTAAGAATATCTTCATATCTTATAGATTCCTGACTCATAAGTCCATGTAGGCAACTGTGATCTTCCGGCCTTTCATTTGATAGGTTCTTGTCGTATTATATGGTTGAACTTTTTATTTCCTGGATTAAAGATTAAGTATTTAAAATAATCAGATAAAAATAAAATTGCATTTGAATTATTGTCTGAAGATTTGCATATACTACAATAACACAGTGTGTTCCAAAAAAAAGTCAGTTTCTACAGTGTCTTGCTTTAGG